AAAAGTAAAAATTTATTAAAAATACAAAATAACACTTTTCAAATAAAATTAAAAATTATTAATAATATTTTTGTAAAATGGAGAGGATATTATTATTATTTTGGTACACTTAAAGAAATCATAGTGTATGTAAATAATTTTTTCTAGGGTAATTTTAATTGTACCATAAGTTTGATACTAATTTTCAAATATACCTTTTAAAGGATAATTATTTTTATAAATATTTTAACTTTTAACTTTTTGATTAATAAGATCAGATTAACTCTTCACCCTAAACAAGAAGTTTAGATCTAGGTTATGAAAAGTACGAGGAATTCACAAAGATTTTTCATAGATAACAGATTGTTCTCAAGTGTTAAAAATGGTTTTGAAATCAGTAAAATGAGCTATTAAAGAAAAGTTTGAACTATCCAGAGTTTATATATATTTCTTGAATACAAAATATAAAAATAGATAGTTTAGTACATAGTGCTTGAAAACAATTGTATTTTGTCGTTTATATGGATACAAAAATTTCATTATATTGATGAAAAAAACTGTACTTCGTGTGGGTTTGGAGAGTTCTGTATATTATATTGATGAAAAAGGCTAGACAATATGATAACACTAAATTTGATGTATTTTTGATTTAAGGTATTTTGAAAAGTAATATCTCTATTTTGATCAATTAATTTTTTATTTTTGACGTTTTGTTTGAATACAGATCGGTTTATTTTGTTTCGGTTTGGAAAGTTAAACCAACAAAATAAACCGGACAATAATCAATTTCTCTTCTTCAGAGTCAGAGGACTCGAGTCAAAATCAATTTTACTCGCGCTAGTGACTGACAGGACAATCTCATTCATCATCATCTTCCTCTCAAACTCCCCAATGGATCTTCTCAACAACCCTCCCACAACAACACTGAGTCTATCAGAGACTTTCGCTAGGTTAAAGTCACAACACAAAGTAAACAACTTTTTTTTCAAAAGTTTCAATTTTTGATTTTCAACCCACAAAACTCTGATCTGTGTTTTTTTTATCTGTATTGCAAAGGTGGCTTTGATTCCATATATAACAGCTGGCGATCCAGATCTTTCCACGACAGCTAAAGCTCTTAAAGTGCTTGACTCTTGTGGCTCCGACATTATCGAACTCGGTGTTCCTTACTCTGACCCTTTAGCTGATGGTCCAGCAATCCAGGTTCGATTTACCATAAACACATTATTATTTTAAGCCTTTTAAAAAACTCATTTTTTTGGAGTTAGGCTGCTGCAAGACGTTCTTTACTTAAAGGAACCAACTTTAACTCCATTATCACTATGCTTAAAGAGGTGTGTATGTATGTTTGGTCTTGTCTTAGCTTTATTATAGTCTATAGATGATGAAATTGTTTTTTTTTTTTTTGTGTTGCAATTATCTCAGGTTATTCCTCAGTTATCTTGTCCTATTGCATTGTTTACTTATTACAACCCGATCCTAAGGCGAGGAATTGAGAACTATATGACTATTATAAAGGATGCTGGAGTTCATGGTATAGTTTAACATCTCCTAGTTATCTCTTGTAGTGTTACAGGGATCAGGTTTATTCTAGGTTTATTACATAACATGGTGTATCTTGGTAGGACTTCTTGTTCCTGATGTTCCACTTGAAGAGACTGAGACTTTGCGGAAGGAAGCTCAAAAGCATCAGATTGAACTTGTATGATGAGATTTTAACATTTTTCATAGCAAACTCAAAACTGTTTCCTTCTCTTTTACTAATCTTTACTATGTTTGTCCTTAAGGTACTGCTCACAACACCCACTACCCCGAAAGAACGAATGAATGCCATTGTTGAAGCATCTCAAGGATTCATCTATCTTGTAAGAACCACACTGTTGCCACTCTTTTATACGTTTGTGTTCTTATGTGTGAATGTTGTCATTGGAGCTTTTTTCAGGTAAGTTCAGTAGGAGTTACTGGTACCAGAGAGTCTGTTAACGAACACGTTCAGTCTCTTCTGCAACAAATCAAAGAGGCTACAAGCAAGCCAGTCGCTGTTGGGTTTGGCATATCCAAACCTGAGCATGTGAAACAGGTTTGGCTTCTCGTAAACTGGATTAGCAACATCTTTTGGCAGTAGCAATATCTATTTGTTTCACATTACAGGTAGCTGAGTGGGGAGCAGACGGAGTCATTGTAGGAAGTGCAATGGTTAAGATATTGGGAGAGGCTGAAACACCTGAGAAAGGACTTAAGGAGCTTGAAGTCTTCACTAAGTCTTTAAAGTCTGCTCTTGACTCTTGAATGCACAATAGCAATCTTCTATTCTTCTATTATTTCAATGCAAAATGAACCAGATGGTGTCACCACTCCTTCCAAATAATTTAACAATCATCTCCAAATAAAAATCAAGAGTTATACATTTATTGAAAGATTCTGAGTTTGAAAGGAGAAATACAAGAATGCCAAAAACAAACAAATGGTATAGGCTCAGCGAGCTTGCAGAATGTGTATATGTTTAACGCTGTGACACAGACTCAGCAGAGAAGAGGTACTTGACACGGGAAAGAACCGAATCATGGGCTGGATCATAGGGATGGTCCTTGGAAGGGATCTCCAGAATCGCCGGCACTGGCTTGTTGTAGCTATCCACCAAGAAACGGATCATATTGGCAACCTACAATCATGAAATTTTCTCATTATGTTTTTGAACTTTAGAAAGGAACAGCTTTACTTAAACTCATTGAAAAGATGTGTCTCAAAAGGCTAATGGAAAGTGGCACCATCTTCATAAAGCTTCATACATTTGATCCAATAATACTAATTGCTAGAGAACAAGAAAGCAAAAAACTACCCTACAATAACAGTAACTTTTGATCCGTGACTTAAAAGGGTGCAAGCAAAAAAAGGTAGTCATTAATGGGTAGTAAACATAAGGGGGCTCAAAAAAGTGGAGTCGTACAAGACATGACCTCTTTGACAACGACACAAACCACACCTCACAGACACCGCAGTTAATAGTTGTTAATGTAATGGAGTCGGAAGAAAGTACTTACGTATTGGCTGATGAGGATGATAGCAATATCATCTCTCGATGAGAATTCCTTGAAAGCATCCTCAATTTGTCTCACGGTTGTCTCTAAAAGACGACAAAAAAAATAAACCAAAAGAAAGGAACATAAGTCAAGTAATTTAGAAGAGTAAACTGTGACTATACAACTCTATAGATATAGTAGTTAGGAAAGTTATCTCCTACCAAGACCCCATGAAATTGACTTGATGGACAAATTCAACTAACTTGAGTTTTATTACCAGTTTGAGATAAGTGACATAACTTGATAAATATTTTTGATAATGAGTTAGAAAAAGCATACTCGAATCCACGATGAGGTAGTTTGTCTTCCTCCTTATGTCAACATTACCAACTCCAGCCATCAAAAATCCAACTACAGTGTCCTGTACACACAACATTTTACACGCTGGATGGAGATTGCTTATATTACCAAAGTATTGTTTCAAACAATTCTGTTACCAGTAACACACAGAACATGAAGATCTCTTGTTATCAATAATTAACACACTTTCTAAGAAAAGTTTTAAAGAAAAATAATACTCTTCAATTTTCTGATTCGTGCATCAAAATCATCTGCAGACTTTTTTCATCAGATCTAAGATTAAAAAAAAAAAAAGTCTAGGGCGCAAAACAAATAAAAAAACACGGATTATCAAAAAAGGTTACACGTTTCACAAAACAAATCTGTAACCCACAATACATTACTATAGTTCAGATCACATTCTCATAGATTCTTTTTTTTTTTTTTTTTTTTTTCATTCTCATAGATTCAAAGCTTAACAATATGATCCACATGAATTCAACGGTTCCTAACGAACCAAACCAAACAGGATCTGATCATATCAAACAGAACACACATAAGAATAAAGATGACCGCTTTGTTAACGATTAGTACCTCATCAGCGATCATAGCGATTAGGGCAGAGTTGCGAGCAGGGATCGAAGCTCTCCCAGCCATATTGATACAAACTACACAGAGAAGAAAAATACAATTAATCGAATTGGGTTTAAGAAACCCTAAATCAATTCCTGATCTGAGATCGGAAGAAGATGGAGGAAAAAAAAAAGAGTTATTACCTTCTTTTCTCTTTCTCTGTTTCTTTCTCTGTTTTTCGATTTGAATGATTGTTGGATTCGTAATCAGTACCAAAGACCCACGCGCAAAGTCAATTACTAACTTCATTTGACTATATTGCCCCTGATTTAGATACGTAATAACGGTAATGTCCGCTTGTAATAATTGCTCTTCACTAGTGAAAATTTAGGCTTTCGGGTTTTGGTCCACCTCAGATTCTTTGAATTGTCGAATTTAGCCTTGTAGGTTTTTCATTCAGATTTTATGTATTGTTCAAAAGATCGAATTCCCTTTTTAAACAAATTTTATAAACCCCTTTAAAATTTCACTAAAAACATTTCGAATAAAAAATGTTTAATAATATATCAAAAATAAACATAAAATAAAAATTGAATGACTTATTTAAATATCATTTTCTGTTTCAACCAAATTTTATAAACCTTTTAAGATGCATTTTGTATCTAAACCCCTTAAAATTTTCACTATAAACATTTTAAATAAAAAATGTTTTAATAATATATCAAAATAAACATAAAATAAAATTTTAGTTACATACTTAAATTTCAAATGTTATTTTATTTATCAATTCATATATTTACACTGGATTTTATCATGATTTTTTAAGTCAAATTTTTTTGTTGAGGTTTAGATAGAAATTCGATAAAACTCATTACTCAAAACACCATATCATATGTTTAGCAATTTAGATAGAGCTACTATATAGTGAAAATGGCAAAATTGTAAAATAGTATGTGGGTTAACGATATGAGTGCAAGTCGCATCATAGCCAGCTTGCCCTCTCAAGGCTAATTTCGTCTTTCACCTACCTCTCTCTTGTCTCTACTTCAGACCAAACTCGTTGATATGTGAAGCAGAACAAAAGCAAAAAAAAAAAAAATCTAAAGAGAGAAAGAAAGAGGAAGAAGTGAGAGCTGCAATGGCGGAGTCTCATTCTCTAAACACCCAGCTCTCCTCTCGAACTTCCATCTTCGGTTTGCGTTTATGGATCGTTCTCGGCGTTTGCGTCGGAGCCGCAATCGTTATTCTCCTCTTCCTCATCTCTCTCTGGTTCATACACAGAAGAAGCAACAACAACAAAGCTAACGACTCTTCCTCAAAACAAAACCACACGATCGTCCCCGTAGTCTCCAAGGAGATTCGGGTCGACCCAGTTCAACCCGACCCGACACCCGAGACAACAACAAACCACCGAGAAGACGACACCAAAATCCACATCGACATCGGTAAAGATCACCGTATCTCGTTCCCGGAGCGGGGCGGTTGGTCCGGGTCAGGGTCCGGGTCGGGTGATCAGGTTTCTTGTTCGGGTCCTGAGGTTTCTCACTTAGGTTGGGGGCATTGGTACACTTTGAGAGAGCTCGAAGTTTCGACAGATGGATTCTCCGACCAGAACGTGATCGGACAAGGAGGTTACGGGATTGTCTACAGAGGCGTTCTTGAAGACAAATCTATTGTCGCTATAAAGAATCTTCTCAACAACAGAGGACAAGCTGAGAAAGAGTTTAAAGTCGAGGTCGAGGCGATAGGTAGAGTGAGGCACAAGAATCTCGTGAGGCTGCTTGGTTACTGCGTTGAAGGAGAGCATAGGATGTTGGTTTACGAGTACGTTGATAACGGGAACTTGGAACAGTGGCTTCACGGTGATGGGTTAGGAGCTAAGAGTCCTCTCACGTGGGAGATTAGGATGAACATTGTTCTCGGAACAGCTAAAGGTTTAATGTATTTACACGAAGGTTTAGAGCCTAAGGTTGTTCATAGGGATATCAAGTCTAGTAATATCTTGCTTGACAAGCAATGGAACGCGAAAGTTTCGGATTTCGGGTTAGCTAAGCTCTTGGGCTCGGAGATGAGTTATGTGACGACTCGTGTGATGGGTACTTTTGGTTATGTGGCTCCTGAATACGCAAGTACGGGGATGTTGAATGAGAGGAGCGATGTTTATAGCTTCGGTGTGCTTGTTATGGAGATGATATCGGGGAGGAACCCTGTGGATTATAGCAGGCCTGTTGGGGAAGTGAATCTTGTGGAGTGGTTGAAGAGAATGGTGTCGAATCGAGAAGCGGAAGGGGTTTTGGATCCGAGATTGGTGGAGAAACCGTCTTTGAGGTCGTTGAAGCGTACGCTTTTGGTGGCTTTGAGATGTGTTGATCCTAATGCTCAGAAGAGACCAAAGATGGGTCATGTCATTCACATGCTTGAAGCTGAGGACTTAGTGCCGAGAGATGATAGGAGAAACTCCGGCGGCGGAGGAGGAGATCCGAAGAAGTCACCGAGGAAGATGAATGTGAGGGAATCAGAGGAGGAGAGTGTTAATTCCATTCTGATCAAGAATGACCAGTTAGCTTTGGAGAAGGAGGAGAGTCGGTAAAAAAGAGAGGAAGGAAGCTTTGGCATTATAATTTTGGTACACTATTTTAGAAGTTTTCTTGTGTGTATGTAGTAGATTCATGTATCTTTGCAATAATAAAAATGTGGATTAGATTAAGAAAAAGAGAAGAAGAGTTTTTATATGTATACTTCACATTAGGTGAGGACTCTGTTGTAATATACTACAAATGGTGATTTGTGTTATAGATGTGGTACAGTTTTCTTTTAGAGAAATTTTGGGTTCCCCTTTATAGTGAACATCTAATTTCACCAACCAATAGGATTTCATTATTTTATATTCTGTATCTTTAAAATTTTTTTAAAGAAACAAAATATTATCGAATTATATTATGTTTTTAAAATTAAAAGATAAAAATAAATAAAAAATAATAGTAGTTATAAATAAAAAAAGTTTTTTAAAAACTATTTTTATTACCTCCCCAGCAAAACAATAAACCCTAAATCCTAAACCCTAAATCATAAATCCTAAACCATTGGATAAATCATCAACCCTTGGATTAATCTTAAACCATATGATTTATGATTAATCCAAGGATTTAGAGTTTACTTAAGGGTTTAGGGTTTAGGGTTTAGGGTTTAGGATTTAGGGTTTAGTGTTTTGTTGTTAGTATCAAAAATATTTAAATACATATTTATCCAAGGGTTTAGGGTTTAGGATTAGGATTTAGTGTTTTGCTCACGGTGTTAAAAATATTATTTTAAAAAGAAATTTTTTTGCAATTAATATTATTTTTTTATTTTCTTTTATTTTTTATTTTAAAAACATAATATAACTCAATAATATTTTGTTTTTAAAAAAAAAAAATATACTAAATATAAAACAATGAAATTCTATTGGTTGGTAAATCTAGGGTGAACCCAAAAATTACTCTTTCTTTTATACATCTCCAGGTCTTTTGTGGATTAGATAGTAAATTCCACAAATTTGTTAATTGCTTTTTTTAGAAGTTTTTACGTGCACATTGTTGCACATTTGATTACATGTTTTTTTTTCTTAAGGAAGGGATTCCTATTGTAATAACTAGGAAATCACGCGCGTAAGGATGTTTACTTTTTTATTTAAAAGTTATCTTTATATAATTTATATTTGTTGATCAATTATTTTGAATAATTCAATAAACTAGTTATTTTGTATGTAAATAAAAAAATTTAAAAATAATCTTATATAACAAAAGAGTGAAAGTATAATTTATGTTTAAAATGTGTAAATTTAAATGTTATGTATTTAGCATAGGAAAATTAAGTAATATATTTGTCATCAATTATTTTTTTTCTTTCTTTTTGTAGTCGTTTAACTTCTTCAATTGCTTATACCCTTTCATTTAGATTGTCAGTTTCACTTTGTTTTAAATCTTTCGATGTATCTAATATTCTTCTTTTCCTTGTTTTATTTCCTTTAGAATCATTGGTTTCTTCTATCCCGTCCGCATTGTCAACAATTTTATATATTATAATAGGATGTTAAATTGAAATGTAAGTTTGTTTATTTTCTTTATAATTTTTTTATTTATATTTTCAAAAAATTATATTCCAAATATATTGTACATCTTCATTAATACTTTGGTTGTATGTGATACTTGTAACCGTTAATCCAGCTGAACTTGACTGATAATTGTAGGATGTGACCTTAACATTGAAATTAAAAACTGTTCCGATAAGCTTTTCTGAAAAGTAGGAGATAATTACATTATCACTTGAGTCAATATATATATGACTATTCTTGCAAATAGTAATTTTAAATTTAATTTCTGATTATACACCATAGTTTAATAATTATTATAAGTATTATACTTACGTGAAATTGAATTAAGCATGTTGCTGATTAACCCAAAATACGTGTCATGTATTTGTTGAATGTGGTTAATAAAAATGAATATGAGTTATCTTCGACAACAATCTCAAGTATATACTTATTTTAATTTGTTTTATATTAATAATATGTTGGTAAAAGTTACAAAATTTTGTTTTTCTATGTTGCAATAATATGCCAACAATATATGGTATATTGTGCATTTTTGCAAGTATGTTTTTCATTCATTTTTAGAAATATTTTTGCGCAATGATTACATTATATGTAGTTTCATCATTTTCTTGAACTAATTTCAATAATTTTTTCTTCAATGATAAACTCTTTTGCTTAACAATCAAAGTTGCACAATAAGTTTAGGTTGTATATATTACTAATTTATTAATTTTTAAAAAGAATTGAAATGTTTTTTTTACCTTAAACAAATCTTTGGTAACGAAATCTATAATTACTGTAATTTGACAATGTCATCATTTACTTTTTTTTTTTAATTTGCTTTTGCCCTTCACTTATATTTGAGTTGTTCTGTATTGACCACAATTTACTTAAATTTTATACTATAAATAATATATATTTTAATTAAAATTACATTTTTGGGAAAGAATGAATATTACTTAATGGATAATCTTGATATATTTGGAAGCAAACATTGTGTTTAAGTAAAGGTAACATATAATTTATGTTGTTAATTTTTAAGTTTTTATTTTTAAAATTATTAGTAATTTATTAATATGAAATATGTTTTTTATATAAACCTGAATATGTTTTGGGATTCACATTTGTTATTATTAGATTAACACCATATATTTTCTTATTGTCCCATATAGTAATACACACTTTGCTTCCCTTGTTATATAGTTATTATTATAATAATTTAGTTATTTCAAAAAAATGTGACTATAAGTTTTTTTGAAATAGATGTGCAAGTTAATATAAATTTTAATTTTATGTGCAATACCAAACATTTATAGCAACTACTGTATAATTTAAATATGGTAATTGATTGTTTACAAAATCTAATAAAATTATGGTTACTAACACTTTTAATTGTAGGTTAATATTTATTTTTCTTGGTCCAGTACTTGGTACTGTATCATCTGTATTTATCGTTTCTTCAATAACTACATAAACAACATTTGCATATATGAATTTATATATAAGCATATAATTTAATGTTTATAACTTTTGGTCATGTGTATTATACCATTACCATCATAAGATAAATTCTTATTTGAAATTTTCATAAGTTAATCATAATCACGAAATCTGAATTTCTCGCAATTTATTTCTACAGTTTTTTCTCATACCGGCGTTATTGATGAATTTTCATTCAGCCATACATTAAAAGAATGATCTGAAATTTTATACCCCACCTGCCTTCTCTACTTCAAAATCATTGAAGATATATATTTTGTCTTCTAAAAGCTCCAGGAAAAATTGATGAATGGGACGAGCATAGATTGATCTCATAATGATTGAATCTTATATTTCATTAGATTGCCGAAATTCTTTGAAGATTTCATATTTTATGTTGAATTAAAACATCTCTTTCGCCTATGGTGGTAGAAAAATCACCAACTATTAAGTCATCTATGTCATTAGCATATGACAATTCATATTACCTTTTCCTTTTATCATGTCCTACCATATAAATTTTCATTTTTGCATTATTTACCACTTTTATATTTATCTCTAGCTTTCTTAAATATTTTTTCTAGTACATTATTTCGTCAAGTATTTTTATTAGTGATGATAATATTTGTGTATCTACTGATTCTTTTCCTTCTCGGTTTATGATTGGAAGTTTGTTTTTTATTGCATTGTATATGTCAAATATATACAACTATAAAAATTTGGTTTTGTCCTCATCCACATGTAAAAGTGATCCAATACTGTGATAATTTTCACCATAAATCTTAAAGCAAAAAGGACCACCAGAATTTAGTATTGAATAATCTATTTCAGCATCCATAGAATGCATAAACAATAAAAAAACAAATACTATAATATTACTCTTACATGAAGGATCACATAACAGATTTCTCAATACTATAGCTGGTTCACGAATCTTGGGTAATTTGATACGTCCTTGTTTACAAAAAATAGAAGATAATGGACGTTTAGTTAATCGATCTTTTTTTGGTACTTTCGGCAAGCCATACTAACGCATTACAATCATTGCAACGCATTAGTTGTTTTTGTAAATTATTACTTTCGACCATTATTTCCTTATCTGTTTACCAATAAATAAAAATGGTTATTGGTTCTCGTAAATTCAAAACATTAAAATTACTAACCATACTTTCGGCACTTTCGGCACTTTCGGCAATTCATACTAACGCATTACAATCATTGCAACGCATTAGTTGTTTTTGTAAATTATTACTTTCGACCATTATTTCCTTATCTATTTACCAATAAATGAAAATGGTTATTGGTTCTCGTAAAATTCAAAACATTAAAATTACTAACCAATGATTCATTGATACCTTTGTGTGTCTGATAATATACTTTATATTTTCGTTTTCTTGCATCTATAAATTGGTAATAATTAAATAATATCTTATGTAGACTGTATATGGTAGAAAAAAAATAAAATTAAACAAACTTGTGGATAATTTTGACAGGTAAGTTTGTTTCCCGCTTTTTCAGTTTTTTTTCATATTCATAATCATATCAACACATTTTGAAGAGTGATGAAATAATATTATTATTATATATAAAATAACATTACATTTGCATCCTTTCAATATGGCCGCACCCTTTCGGTAATATTATGTTCTCAATCCTTCAGAAACGTTACATTCACACCTTTTTGGTGATGTTGCATTTGCACATTTCAGTGACATTATATTCGTAATCTTTTGGTGACATTACATCACACCATTTTGATGATGTTACATTTGCACATTTTCGGTACGATACATTCGCACCTTTTGCGCTCCTGAATTTTTTGTACCCTTTCAGTTCTGAACCGTTAACACCTTTTTGGTCCTAAACCGGTTGCACCCTTTCGGCTCCGACAAGTTCATACCCTTTCGGTCCCGACACGTTCGCACCCTTTCGGTCCTGACATGTTTGCACCCTTTCGGTCCCGATACGTTAACACCCTTTTGATCCCGACACGTTGCACCCTTTCGGTCCCGAACCGTTTGCATCCTTTCGGTCCTGAACCGTTCACACCCTTTCGGTCCCGACACATTCGCACCCTTTCGATCTCAATACGTTCACACCCTTTCGATCCCGACACGTTCGCACCCTTTCGGTCCTTACACGTTTGCACCCTTTCGGTCCCGACACGTTCGCACCCTTTCGGTCCTAAACGGTTTGCACACTTTGGGTCCTGAATCGTTCGCACCATTTGGGTCCCGATACGTTCGCACCCTTTCGGTCTCGATAACGTTGCACCCTTTTTATTGATGAAAATAAGCTTGCTAATAATCCTGGAAACCTAAAGTTTATTTTGTTGTGGGGGAGACGTACTTATTTTAGCGAAAAAAATGGATTATTGTACTTTTGATTATAGTTTTTTTTCCTTTGATATGGTGAATTGTCTGTTATGTTTTGTGTGACATTTATATATTTCAAGGTCTTTTGATCTATGTTTAGTGAAAATGTGTAGATTTCAATTAATGAAGATTTACTTACCTTTTGAAGAAAAGATCAGGTGACGTTGCACCAATATATCATTTTTTTTTTGTCAACGTTGCATCAATATATCTATATTATTAATTTTCACTTTTTGCTTCTCTAAAATGTTGGCGAAGTAATTTCAAATGTATGAATAATAACTAATCAAAAAATTTTAAGTTCTAAACTAATATTTGATTGTTTAGATTTTTATTAAACTATCCTAGATTTTTCTAATCAAAACTTTATATTGTTGGGTATTGGGTTAACGGCGGTTTGGATCAAAAATTTAAATAAATTTAATATATAATTACAAATATCAATATTAAAAATAAAATAAAAATTATGTTTCAAATATAGGGAATATTTATTTTCTTTATTTTTCCCATTTTATATAAAATATAAAATATAATTTAAACATATTTAGTAAAAAATAGGAGTTAATACAGATAAAAATATAATAGTATTAATAAGTATTTAAATATCTAATGCATGTATTGAAATTTGTTTTAAAATCTTAAAAATAATAATTTTAGTAAAATTTATTTACATATTGGTTACTCATTAGTTTAACTGGTTAGCTTCGAGTTTTAGATTACAAGTTTTTAAATAATAAATATTCTACAAACCAAATCTGGATTACATGTATGATCAGTTCAGTTGATTAATCGGTTAGCGCACTAATTCGGTAAGTATAAAACCGTTGATTTTATTGCAAATGTTTTTTGAACAGAAAATATTCTTCCAAATTAACTAAACAAAATTGTTAATAGAATTTTTATCACAAAATATCCGCACTTTCCAAATATGGATAAAAATTTAGTAGATATTATTAAAATTTGGTGGATTTAGTAACCAGATCTAGATCTATGGTTTTCGAATATCTGGATGTTATACCACTAGCGGGTATTAGAAGCCGGATCCATAAAATAGTTTAAAAATACTAAAATTCTAAAAGCAATACATAAATTAAAAATTTATACAATATATATATATATATATATATGTGTGTGTGTGTGCAATATTATAATTTTTTAAAAATATTATTATAAGACTAATAATATATATATATATATTATTGTATAAAAAATATAATTAATAACAAATTAAAATTTATTATATCTATAAAATATGGTTCTTGGTATTTAGACTAAAAAATCAAGATATTTAGATCTCGTTTTGATGGTTCCGAAATTTTATTATCTAGATTCGGATTCAGATACCCATATATCATATTTCAGAGAGGATCTTAGATCAGATTTGGATCCCAAATAATCATTCCTTTCCCTAAAATGTATATTCCTTAAATTAAACGGATTAATGAATGTTTAGTTACCATTTTTAGTTTGTCAAAAAAGGTTACAAAACGATTAATGACGTTGCACCGATAAATAGATCTTTCTAAGAGCTATCCAAAAAACATGTTTGTAAAAATCTGTTTAGACGACATAAAAAATTCTGTATAGGTGAAAAGCAGTTTCAAAACAATATTCTTAAAATCTGATTTATATGATTCAAATTGGTTTAAATTGATCTAAATTAGTTAAAATTTGTGCAATAATATTAGTATTATTTGTTTTGAACACAATATAATGTTAGTATAAATTCCCTAATTTATCTAATTTCTTTTAGTTTAATTAAAGCTCAAAATTCAAAAATTTAATGTAAATGTACAATATTTAATTTCTTTAAGTTTAATTGATTTCACGTTGCAAAAAAATCAAAGTATCTAAATAATTTAAAGCGAAACTGTATTAAAATTATTTTTTACCTTTTTCTGTAAGAATTAAAAATGATTTATTTGTACGTAATTATTAAAAACAGAATATTCTTTCGTAAAGTGGACCTAATGCAAGTAGGCAAGATCCGACAAAACAAGTAAAAGACACACCACACCACCAAAAGTATCAGAGAAAGAACAAAGCGAGAGAGATGAACAGTATCTTCTCAATTGACGATTTCTCCGATCCCTTTTGGGAATCATCACCGCCTCTCGATTCGGACTCGGCCAAGGCCGTTACTGCCGATGAATGGACCGTCGAGATGTTTCTTGAAGAGATCGCTTCTTCCGTGAGCTCTGAGCCTGTCGGAAACAACAACAACAACAACGCGATCGTTGGTGTTTCGTCTGCGCAGTCTCTTCCTTCCGTCTCCGGACAGAATGATTTCGAAGACGACAGTCAATTTCGCCGTCGTGTTCTTAGGAACAAGCTTGAGACTGAGTGTGCTAGTGTTGTAGCTCTTAGGGTTTATCTTCTGTTTCCTTTCTTTTTCTTTTTTTTTAGGTAGTTATATTTGCATGTGTAAGAATAAGATCTGAATCTCTCCATGCTTGTGTTGTGTAGGCTGGGACTGTGAAGCCTGAAGATTCGACTGGTTCTCCTGAAACTCTGTTTCAACCAGCTCAGTCTAGTCCTCTTACTCAAGGTAATAACTGATCATCATGCAAATTAATTTTTTTAACAGCTCATAGCTTGTCTCTTAGCTTCACCATGTTTGTAAATTTTGATGCCAAAGTCAGTGTTCTAAAATTCGGTTTAGGCCCCTAGTCGGCAAATCGGGTCTGATTTTTTCCAAAAAAAACGGTTTAGGCGTCTAGTTACCTCCTAGCTATTTTTGAATATCTAAAATAGGTCTAGGCGCCTAGTTACCTCCTAAGGATTTCTTGAATATTGTGTCAAGTTAAGGATTTGTACTGTATAGATTGAAAATGGTTCTTTAGAGAAGATTGAACCATTTCAAGTCTTTTTGAAATATTTTTTTGTTGGTTCAAATTTTTAATTGTGTCATCAAGTTTCAATCTTTTGGTGACTCTCTCTTGAAATTAATCTACTTTCTTAAAGTCCAATAAGAGTAGGATGACTTGAGATAGATTCTGGTGGTTGATTCAGTGTCTCTTTGTTTGAGTCTCACACATAGTGGGTTTTAATGGTGGTAGGTTCTTTGGTGACGCCTGGAGAAGTTGGTGTCACTTCTTCATTACTGGCTGAGGTGAAAAAGACTGGTGTATTGATGAAGCAGGTTACTAGTGGATCATCTAGAGACTATTCTGATGATGATGATCTTGATGAAGAGAATGAAACCACTGGTTCCTTGAAACCAGAGGATGTAAAAAAATCTAGAAGGTAAAATGATCATCTGTTTCTTCAGTTTCTTGTCTTTTTGATGTTTATCTTTAAAGTGAAACAACCTTGTTGTTTGTAGGATGTTGTCTAATCGAGAGTCAGCAAGGCGGTCTAGAAGGAGAAAGCAGGAGCAAACATGTGATCTTGAAACACAGGTTTCTAGATATAGATCCTCCCAATCTCCTATTATATTACTAGAGACCTAATTTTGTGGGTGATAGGTTAATGAGCTAAAAGGTGAGCATTCATCACTTCTCAAGCAGCTGAGCAACATGAATCACAAGTATGATGACGCTGCTGTTGGCAATAGAATACTAAAAGCCGACATTGAGACATTAAGAGCTAAGGTAACAACACTGCATCTGTTCTTCCTAGCCACCCTTATGTTTTTTGTTACTAAATTAATGTAACTTCCATGTATTGTTTAGGTGAAAATGGCGGAAGAGACCGTTAAGAGAGTAACAGGAATGAATCCTCTGCTTCTCGGTAGATCAAACGGACATAACAACAACAATAGAATGCCGTTAACTGGTTCTTCATGCATTCCACCTTTTCAACCACAATCAAACCTAAACATGGGGCTACCAACTCTTCTATCTCCAAGACTCGAAAACAGTTTCATTCCTACTCCATCCTTAAACTCCCAAACTAACTCTCATTTGCAGAGAATAAGAAACACTCAAAACCACCATGTTGCTCCAAGCACTAACACCTATGACTGGACTACTGAAACTCAGAATGATTCAGCATGGTAAGTTACAAAATTGTTCATATTTTGAAGCTCTATGATGTTTATTTATGCATATCAGATTCTTGTTTCCCCTTTTACAGGCCAAAAAAATGTGTGGACTGATGAAACAAGAAGCTGGCTTTATAGACTTTAATATTGATATATCTATGCATCTCTCATTGTATATTTAAACCATGAGAAAACATTTGTGAGAAAAAAAACAGTCTCATGGCCCTTATACACTCTGTCTTGTACCATTACAAAGACTATTAATAAGAAGAATCTGTCTTTCTATTTATAGCTTAATGTTGAATAAACAGAACCGTTCTGTTTTGGTCAAATTCAAAAAAAGGAAAGGTCACGTCATGTACACCTGACTTTTCTAATTTTTCCTTCATTATATTCCGACAACCTCGGCGGTTGCTACATAGAAAGCAGAGAAGAAAAGGAGACGAAGAACGACGACAAACAAGTAAAACATAAGTCGTCGTTCTTCCTGTTTTTGTCCTCTCTCTTTCTCAGATTCGATCTTTGCGTTGAAAAATGGCTTCGAGTAAGCTAAGACGCGCCATAGGAGCGGTGAAAGATCAGACAAGCGTAGGGCTAGCCAAAATGGGAGGCAAAAGCAGTTCTTTAACGGAACTAGAAATCGCCATCGTGAAGGCAACGCGACACGACGAGTATCCAGCCGAGGAGAAATACGTGAGAGAGATCTTAAGCCTAACGTCTTACTCACGCAACTACGTAAACGCTTGCGTTTCAATCCTCTCGAGACGTCTCAACAAGACCAAGAACTGGTCTGTTGCTCTCAAAACCTTGATTCTGATCCAGCGGATGTTGACTCAAGGCGACAAAGCCTACGAGGAAGAGATCTTCTTCGCGACAAGGCGTGGGGCCAGGCTGCTTAACATGTCTGATTTCAGGGATTCGGATGGGTCTAGCTCTTGGGATTACTCTGCTTTTGTTCGGACATATGCTCTTTATTTGGACGAACGGCTTGATTTTCGAATGCAGAAAAGGAGAGGGAAAAAGGGTGATTGTGGTGATGATTCTGGTGACGACGAAGCTGATCGTCGAGAGACCAAAACCGACAACCGGTCTAGAGCTCTTGTGGGGAAGACTAAACCGGTCAAAGAGATGAAAACAGAGAAAATCTTTATTAGGGTACAACACTTACAACAGCTTCTTGATCGGTTCTTGGCTTGTCGTCCAACAGGTGACAATACTTGATCGGTTTTAAAAAAACCAACGTTTTCGATCCGGTCTGATTATAGACACACTAGTCTAAATTCGGATCAGATTTTTGGTATCATGCTAAAATCCCATTTGGGTTTTTTTTGTTGGGTTTAGTTCGATTTCTTACGTCACTTATTACTTTCTTGGCTAACAAGTTATGTTAATGCAACAGGTAATGCAAAGAACAACAGAGTTGTGATTGTGGCTCTGTATCCAATAGTGAAAGACAGTTTCCAGATATATTTCAACATAACAGAGATAATGGGAGTAATGATAGATCGATTCATGGAGCTAGACGTTCATGATTCGATCAAAGTCTATGACATCTTCTGTAGAGTTTCCAAACAGTTGGACGAGTTAGATCCTTTTCATGGATGGTGTAAGAAGATGGGAGTTGCAAGATCTTCAGAGTATCCAGAACTGGAGAAGATTACACAGAAGAAACTTGATATCATGGATGAGTTTATAAGAGATAAATCTCTTTTAGCTGCACAAGCACTAAAGTCACCATCAAGAAAGTCTAACAAATCTGAGGAAGAGGAAATCAAAGACATTCAAGAAGATATAAACTCCATTAAAGCATTACCAGCACCAACTCAAGAAGAGGAAGAAGAGGAAGAAACAAAGAAAGATGTTGAAGAAGTGGTTTCAAAACAAGATCAAGAAGGTGATTTGCTGGATTTAACTTGTGAAGTGGGTGATACAACATGGTCGGTTGGTGATAGTTTGGCCTTAGCGTTGTTCGATGGACCGGTTGCCAATGAGAATGCATCTGGACCGGGGTGGGAAGCGTTTGATGATGATGCAGCGGATTGGGAGACAGCATTGGTGAAATCAGCGACGAGATTGTCGGCACAAAAGAATGAGCTTGGAGGTGGGTTTGATCATTTGTTGCTTAATGGAATGTATCAATACGGTGCAGTTAATGCGTCGACGGCTTATGGAATTAGTGGGAGTGCGAGTAGTGTTGCGTTTGGTTCTGCAGGAAGACCAGCAGGTAATAAAAAACAAAAAAGAACTGTTTGCATGTAGATTATCACCTCAACAGTAGTTCTTTTTCAAAATGCTGGTTTTAAAGGTTTTGCTTAAACCGAATTAAAAACCGTTTTAACCCAAATTAGTGATTTGGTTTAAAACGGCCCAATTTTGCTTTATTCAGATTATTCCTTATATATTTGATTGCTGAAATATATGTGCTGCAGCCTCGATGTTGGCACTGCCCGCACCGCCACCAACGACCAACGGAAACGGAGACAGATGTTTGATCACCATGGACCCATTTGCGGCGTCTCTAGAGGTGGCTCCACCCCCGTACGTGCAAATGAGTGATATGGAGAAAAAACAAAGGTTGGTAATGGAAGAACAAATGATGTGGGATCAGTACAACAGAAATGGAAGACTAGGTTACATGCAAAACCAACAACAACATTTTCAATACTCCATGGGACCTTATTCTTACACACCTCACTACTGATTTTTTTGATTTTTGAAGAAAAAACCACTAGATCAAGAGCTTTCACTTTCTAAAGGAAAAAAGTGAAGAGCTTTCTCTCTGATTTGTATTGTAACTCCTTCTGATGATTTTGGTTCGTAAAAAGTTAAAGAAAAAGGAATAAAATCCTAAAAAACCTAGTAGCACAAAAAAAAATCCTAAAAAAAACCTATCTTTTCTCAAATGCAAGTCTTAATTACCTTATGTTTCAAATTGTTTAGTTTGTATTACTTGTCGAAGATAACATCTATAATAAAAATTGAATTACCATTTTGACTCACTTCATTATTTACATCTTATGTCACTATTTTAGTAATAATTAGCTATTTTAGCTTAATCATGTATTATCAACACAATTAGATTTTGTTCCGCGTTTTAAAAGCGCATAATATTTTATGGTGAAACATTTCATTAACAATGTTACGAAAGTTTTTAAATTTTTGAGAATTTTATCTATTTTTTTTAAAATAATTAAAATCATCACTTTTATACTCTGAACCCGCAGTCGAATTGATAAATCTGGTGATATAATATGTAATCCAGTTTGGATTCTAAAAAATAGCCATTGTTTGAAAACTTGATAAATCCGGCAGAAAAAACTAAAATCTGAGGCTAACTTGTTGAACTGCTGGGTAACTAATTTAAAACTCAATATTTCAATAATTGTATATTCACATGAATATAATTACATGAAAATTAAAATAGTATAAACGATTATGTTTATTTTAAAAGATTTAAAATTACAACGAGGTATAATCAATCTTTTTAATCAGTCTCACATTGAGTAATGCTTATTTTAATATGTTATAATAAAAAAATCAAATATTTTGACAATTATTTTCTATGTCTCATAAAATAATTTACAAAACTCTTAACCATAAAAAAAAAACATAATTTATAATAATATAATTAAAAATTAGGAAATTGTTTGTAATCTATTTAAATAGGAATATTTCACCTATTTAAAACTCAATCTATCATAGTATAATTTCTCTTTATGGTAACAAAATCTTTCTTTGGAAAATATATAGGACTTTTTATGTATTCTACGTATACTTATAGATTTATCAGCAGTCTAATATTAATTACTAGTGTGCCAGCGCTACGTGATAATTTAATAGTTGATGTTAGTTCTTAAATATAATTAGTAACATTGTTATGTGAGACTCCACATGTGATTTTTGTTTTCCCGGTTTTAATAATATTTTAACTATTAATATTGTTACATAATATTGCTGATGTTATGAATTATTTAGAAAAGATAAACAACTAATTTATTTTGACTTTGGAAATGAGCAACCAGAGAGTGAGTGTTTGATAATTATCTTCTTGTTCATATTTCATCTTGTACAAATGAAAGAGAAGTCACATATCCCTTATATATTAATCCTGAAGCATTCATAAATGCATAACCTTGAAGAGCATGCTTACGTGTCAAGCTCATAGAGTTTCTCAACTTTAAATTTTTAATGGACCAACTTTGCTAGGAATGAAATAATATATCATTTAATTTCTTGCATTTAGGACTACAATATATATACATTTTTTAAGGGACCAACTCTGCTAGGTATAAACAATATATTTTATTTCCTTAAATAAAAGCTATGGAATTACCTAATATGATTAACATATATATGTAATTAATAATTATGAATAATACATATTTTTGTATCCTCTCTCTTTTTGTTTAATTTTTAATTATTAAAAAAATTAAAGAATCACATTTAAATATATAATAAAAAAATTAAATTTTTTACTTATAGGTTATATTTTAATTTTTTTAAAATGACCATAAATAACTAAAAATAGTAAAATCCCACATTGAAAATTTTATGATCAATGGTTTAACTTTGTTTTTTTTCCAAAGAAGATACAAATTATCATAAATCGTACGAATATGAAATATCATTAGTAGATATTCATACTATGAATATGTTAATTTTAAAATTTCAGTGAAAAGTTTTGAGGTTAGTAGATACCGATAGATTTTTGTAGTTTATTTTATTTTCTTCTTTTTTAATATATTTTATTTTGTTTAGATAATTTAACTAATTTTAAATTAGATTTATTAATAGTTTAATTATTTTGATTTTTTGTCAACTTTTAATGTTTAATAAATACGTTTTGGGATGATTTCAGATATTGGCTACAATACAATTCAAACTGAATTGAGAAGATCAAATCGAATCCAATCCGATAATTAGTAAAATTCAAATAAGATTTATGAGAATAATACCAAAATAGGAAAATACGTGTCAATCAAACTAAAACCGACAAAGTCTCAAACGTCCAGACCTATGATGATTTAAGATACCAACATTTGTATTCATCATTTTATAATCGATAAATACTGTAGTATTGCAATATGTTAAAAACCATTTAATGAATAAATATTAGTATAAAAATTTCACTCGGCGCATGCGCGGGGGTTATCATCTAGTTTATAGTATGAAGAAATACATAAAATAATGGTACGTCGGTTGGTCAAAGGCGGTGAATGAATGGATAATCATCTTTCATATTATCTTCTAACACTCCCCCTTGATTATCCATTGTATTACGCAATGCCTCGTTAAAACCTTAGTCATGGAAAAATCCATTAGGCTAAAAACCATGAAAAAGGAAAAAGAGTACACTGACGTAATCTCCCCCTGAGCATAATGGACATAGTTTTTTCTTCATAGGTCACGTAAATGTCGCATTCCGATACTTTCGGAACATTGTAGTAGGAAGGGACTTCGTAAACAAATCTGCGGGATTGTCGCATGACCGTACATATTCTATGTCCACTTCTTTATTTTTCTCGAGCTGTCGTATGTATGAGAAAAATCTTGGAGGCATGTGCTTTTTTCTGTCGCTCTTGATATAACCTTCTTTAAGTTGAGCAACACAAGCCGAATTGTCTTCAAACATTTTTGTCGGCTCTTTCTTATCAACTATTCCACTTGCTTCTTGTATGTGGTAACTCATTGATCTAAGCCACACACATTCTCGACAGGCTTCGTGAAGTGCAATGGTTTCTGCATAATTTGAAGATGTTGCAACCAGAGTTTGCTTCTGCGGACGCCAAGAGATCGCTGTCCCACCAATTGTAATAACATAGCCAGTTTGCGAACGAGCCTTATGAGGATCTGATAAGTATCCTGCATCTGCAAAACCAACCATACCAAACTCGGGTTTTCTAAAATACATTAAACCTAGGTCAACCGTACCTTGGAGGTAACGGAATATGTGTTTAATTCCGTTCCAATGTCTATGAGTAGGAGCCGAACTATATCTTGCAAGAAGATTAGTGGCAAAGGCAATATCAGGTCTGGTACAGTTCGCTAGATACAACAACCCACCGATAGCACTCATGTAAGGTATTTCTGGACCTAACATATTTTCGCTATCTTCACAGGGTCTAAAAGGATCTCTCTCAACATCGAGAGTCCTACCAACCATTGGAGTACTCAAAGGAGTTACTTTGTCCATACGAAAGCGTTTCAACAACCTTTTCGTATAATTTGATTGATGCACAAATATACCTTCTCGGAGATGCTCAATCTGGAGCCCAAGACAAAACTTTGTCTTTCCGAGATCTTTCATTTCGAACTCTTCTTTCATATGAGTTCGTGCATCATCAACCTCCTTTTGAGTTCCAATAATGTTCAGGTCATCAACATATACATCAATGATCACAAAGCCATATGACGATTTCTTTATAAAAACGCATGGACATATCGCATTATTCACATATTCTTTTCTCAAGAGATATTCACTTAATCGATTGTACCACATGCGACCAGATTGCTTTAATCCGTAAAGTGATCGCTGTAGCTTAACCGAACAGATCTCCCTGGGTTTCTCTTCCAATGCTTCTGGCATTTTCAATCCTTCAGGGAGTTTCATATATATATATATATATATATATATATCCTTATCCAATGATCCATACAAGTATGCAGTCACAACGTCCATAAGATGCATTTCAAGATTCTTTGACGCCGTAAGGCTCATCAAAAATCTAAACGTAATTGCATCCATCACCGGGAATACTTTTCTTCAAAATCAATTCTTGGTCTCTGAGAAAAACCTTGGGCCACTAATCGGGCTTTATATCGTGTTACTTCATTCTTTTCATTTACTTTTCTCACGAATACCCACTGATACCCAACATGATTTATATTCTCAGGTGTTATGACTATAGGTCCAAAGACATTTCTTTTATTTAGGGAGAGTAATTCATTTTCAATGGCCTTCTTCCACTCCTCCCAATCATGTCTTTTCATACATTCTAAAATGGACCTTGGATCAGGATCATCACTTTCGTGATCTATTTCTTTGGACATAGAAAAGAAGAACATTCCATCAACATCTTTTATCTTATTTCTGATCCATAACTTTTCATCTTGGGCGTAGTTGATGGAAATCTCATACTTTTCAGTTCCCTCCTCGTCATCTAGATCTTTATCTTTATTTGGTTCTTCTTGAACCTTTTCATCTATGCCTTCTTTCAGACATTTTTCAGTATCAGGTTCTTCTAGAACCTTCTCTTTTTGCTCAACCAATTTCTTTTTCTTTCGGGGATTTTTATCTTTAGAACCCACAGGTATCCCCCTCTTTAACTAAGCCCTAGGCTCATTCATTGTATCTTCATCAGTGTGTTCTTTAGGAACAACAACACTTGATGGGATATTTTCAGCGGATATATATGATTTTGTCACCCTTCTCGTATCTGTGAACGCATTTGGTAACAAAATATTTCTTTGGAAAATATATAAGACTTATTTATGTATACTACGTATATTTATTGATTATCAGCAATCATATATTAATTACTAGTGGTGTGCCAGCGCTACGTGATAATATAATAGTTGATGCTAGTTGTTAAATCTAATTAGTAACATTGTTATGTGAGACTTCACATGTGATTTTTGTTTTCTCGGTTTTAATAATATTTTAACTATTAGTATTGTTACATACTAATGCTGATGTATTTC